GGCAACTCTCTTGTTATCTCTCTGCTTTGCTTTACTGATACTATAGAAATTGATGTTATAAAGATTTATTTTCTATTGTTGCTGTACTTGTCAGCAAGTCTACCTAGTTATGGCCTTTCTCGAGTTGAAGTTTGTCAGTTCGTTTGAATATTGAGGGGCTCTTTTACCATTCCTCTATTTTGTTAAATTTAATTATTTGCAATGATAAATTTTGCTTCTGAAACATTCTAAACATAAATGTCCATTGTTTTAATTTTTGACTCTCACTTCATGATGGGCAGGTATTCCTGGGTTTACTTGTCTTTTTCCGAACCATTGTCCTCCGTGCATTCTCTTCTTTTACATTCTGCTGCCATCGGTCGTGGTATTCTTTTTTTTTGTTTTGCCCAGCTCTGTTCTGAATGACGGTGTTGGATTGTTGGTATTTTTTTAAATATTGATAGCAAAACCTATTAATCATGCTGGTAAAGATGATATTTATTGCTATTAGAATTTCTTAGCTCAAATCTCGTGAAAGGGTTGTCACTACTGACATGTTGCAACTCTCATTTCTCTGAGAATTGCTAAGTTGTTTCTATTTTTGTGTAAACAATAGTGATTGACAGCATTCATCCATGGATTTACAACACAACCCACTTGCTGTATGTATATTCTTTGTTTTAAACTTCTTTTAATGGATCAATCAATAAATAATTTCATGTTTGAACATAAAGGTAGGCTTGTTTATAACATCTTTGAATTTTTGCTTCGTAAAGTAAAGGTCTCTCTTGTCTTACCTGGTTTGTTCTACGGTGAAGACTTTTGAGTGGGTACCTGCAAAATTTTCTTTGATTTCAGGGTCTTTTGCATGAGATTTTGTTGCAGCATTAACGAACTACATAAATGCATAAAAGGATAGTAGGTGTAATAATTGCCAGTGAAAAACTTTTTAAGGTTGACATCCCTGGCGGTTTATCTGGTCAAAAATAAGAACTTCATTTTTGGTGCCATATTACTTTTTAGATGGTATCTATGACTATTATCATCTTTGTTTAAATGTTAGTTATTTTTGCTATCAAAATGGGGACATTTAATTCTAATATAGAACAGAATGTGTGTTAATATAAGCTAATGTACAACAGAACAGTCCCTTTTTCACCTGCTCCCTCTCATAGTCAAACATATATGGAAGTCCTCATTTGCATTTGTTTAACTGCAAATATTTGGGATGGGGGGGAGATGCAGCTAATAAATATTGTTG